TAGCTGAACTCACCAATATCGTTTCATCCACAAGGGTTGCTTTATTCTGAACATCAGGGTTACAGCAGATGACAGGAAACAACTGATGAATGGTTGAGGTATTATGCGGTCAAAAGATGATAACTTCGTAGCGTACTATGTGGAATACATGTGTCCCTTGTTACATGTAGCCTGTTAGCTGCATCCATGACACAGGAAGTACTTACCAGGAAGAAGGGTGGGGCATTACATACAAAGGAAATGTGTCATCGATTTCAGCAAAGGGAACATGAAAAACAAGTACGTTACCACAAAGGGTCACTAGATGGCAGCATATAACTTACTATAGAATAGCTATAGAAAAATGGTTAGGGAAAACACACTATATAATTCTCATCTACTAACAATGCTAATAACATATTCTATGCCCCATTGGGGTGGCACAATTAATGAAGGGAAAGTGAATAATTTCGATATGACCATATGGGGTAGGTCAGTCCTCATTAGCGCCATCCAGCCGAGGTGCCTAACAGCGCTAATGAAAAGGTTCGTCCTTCAGCAACGGCTCGCAGGAAACTCTCACTGGATTTGTGTATCTTACATTTAATTTTAATGGCCCACTAATGAGTCCCTAGTGACTTGCCGAATGTAAAATCCGCATTCCACTCTCTATATCGCTCGCTGACCGCGCTGAAAATTTAGGAATACAAAACAATCAATGAACAGTTTACCTAAAACGCAATGGTAAATCCAAAAACAACCAGCGTGAATGTCACATGGGAATGGCGCTGGGTGTTTGGCCCGGGAGAATCATTTACATTCTGTAACATTTAAGTATTACCTTTGTATTCACAACTTTCTGTGCATGTTCTAGGTGCACCAGCAACAATTCTGTATCTCCATACACTGCCATATTCATCAATAAGCCTATAGGGTGCGTTGTCCTATAAAAAAAAAAAGTAAAACGCACATCAGCGCCAATTAAAGGAATGGCTTACCTGTGTTCGTGAGTTGATGTGCGTTAAAAGGCATGAGAGTGATCGGGCTGAAAGAATAAGGCCGTAGTCACAATGTTGCAGTGTGTGGCCTCGTGCGTTGCATTAAGGGATTCCACTAATTTTCCATTCACGGGAAACTGTTATTTTATTACGCCTATGCCTTTAAACTGCAATGTACCTTTAAAAGTACAAATCTGTGAGGAAACAGGCTTTTTAGTGACATGTTACATGGAAATGATAAATCGTGTTGCAGACAGTCTTTAGACGTTCTTGACGTCTCTGCGCAATAAATGTCAGTGCCTGCGACAAATTGATGTACCTGTCTGAAAAAGGTACATCAATTTGTTACATAGAGACATGGTGGGGGTCAGCACTGAGAGCGGAGCGTCCATACCGCGCATCTCCGTCCTCAGTGCACATTCAGCCTCTGAGCTACGCAGTGTCGTTGGTTGCTTTGACACTGTTAACTGCACAGCATCATCGGTTGTTATGGTGCTCTGCGCCTGACAGAGTCCTAGCAACCAAAGATGCTCTACAGCCGAGGGCATCCTAGCAACCCAGGCAACTGTGCAGGTGGCAATGTCATAGCAACCAAGTATGCTGTGGTTTGACAATGTCATAGCAACCAAAGACATTGTGGACATTGTCAGCCTTATAACAACCAAGGGTGTTTTAAGCTGACAGCATCCTAGCAACCAAGGGCACTGTGACCTTCTGTATGCCTCCTTTATACTCCAATAAATTGGCAAGCTCTTCCACTTTATGTATTTCTTCCTTTATAACCTAATACAGTAAACTCCCATTATCCGGCATCCACGGGGATTGGTAGATTCCAGATAAATGTAGTTTCCGCTTGCTTGAGAGTTACTATTAAAAATAGGTCTAACTAATGCCATGCCCCATACTATACCATAACATAAACTCTGTACTGACTTCATATTAATATTGAAATAAAGTAATCAAAAGCAAATTAAGACAAACAGACACATTTAGTATTAGTGCTGCAATACAGGTGCCCTAATACAGGTGCTGTAATGCTGTGTGCACTGTGGTTGTAATCTATGAGCAATACAGTGCAGTGCTGGGAATGATCACTAGGTGGCGCTTGTTCACAGACAGTTCGGACAGATGATAATAGAGCACTTTTCACAGATAGTTCAGACACTCGTTTTCAGGATAACCCCACACTTTTCAGCCCTTTTCTCTACCTTCTCATGCTGCAGAGTCCTCTCTCCCTCTCCTACAAGGTCACAGATCAGCAGAACAGTAAGTGCACAGTGGATTTTTTCTTCTGAAAACCCAATGTCATTCAACAAAGAAGACTGAGGACCTACTGTGACGTCAGAGGACATACTGTGACGGCAGAGGACATGCTGTGACGGCAGAGGACATTCTGTGACTGCAGAGAACATACTGTGACTGCAGAGGACATACTGTGACTGCAGAGGACATTCTGTGACTGCAGAGGACATACTGTGACGGTAGAGGACATACTGTGACGGTAGAGGACATACTGTGACTGCAGAGGACACACTGTGACGGCAGAGGACACACTGTGACGGCTGTGACTGCAGAGGACATAGTGTGACTGCACAGGACATACTGTGAGTGCAGGGCAGCATGAGCCTGCCCCCTGAAGGGGCATAACTACGGAGCCCTGCTCTCACATACAATGATGCAGAGAGTGGCCCATCATCATGTCAGCACAACCCAAAGAGGACTCTGTGCACATCTGGAAAGGATTAGTATATATAAAATAACAAAAGCAAAAGATACACGCCGGGAAGACGGGGTACACCGTAGAAAGAGTGGGAGTCTAGAGTTCAGCTTTAATAATGAAGATTCATTTTTATCTGGCGTTGACAAGTTGCTGAGACTGAATACTACATCAGTGTGAGAAAAATCCCAGCCTTTGCTGTTTCTTGGTGACAGGTACTCTTAGCCCTCACTCAGCCGGACCTCCTTCGTTTGTTTTATTTAAGAATGTAGAAAGTGATCCGGGAAGTGTCAACAAACTTTATACTAACAGATCACTTTTCTGTTTAATTGTATATGTGTTTCCATGTGATAAGACAAGTATCTAATCTGCCCCAGGACACACAGAACTCTCTTTCCTCTACATGCAGCCAAACTGAACACGCTAAGTTCAGGTAGACGCAAATGTATAACTGCAGATAATGGCGTTCCTGTGTGAAGGAGAACTTCAATGGTTTGGTGATAAAACAAAGACAAACACAAATGTTTCTGGAAACAGATGCCAGTGAAGATGGTCATCCTAAGTGACAGAACCCGCAGGGCAGAGGACAATGACAGCAGCTCAATGCTATTTATAACAATCAGACAATAAATGATGAATAAGCTGAACCTCCCAGAACCCAAAATGCCCCCCAAGGAGCTACGAAGAAGAAGAGAGAGAGAAGAGAGAGAGGAGGAGGAAGAGAGAAAGAAGAAAAGGAAGTGAAGGAAGAAAAGAAGAGGAAGAGAAACAAGAGGAAGAGAAAGACAAGGAAAAAGAGTAGGAAGAGGAAGAAGAGAAAGAAGAGGGGAAGAATAGGAAGAGAAAAGAGAAGAGGAAGAGAAAGAAGAGAAGGTAAAGAAAGACAAGGAGGAGGGGGAGAGGAAGAAGGGGAAGAGAAAGAAGAGGTGGAAGAGAGGAAAAAATAGGAAGAGAAAGAAGAGGAAGGAGGAAGAAGAAGGGGAGGAAGAGAAGGAAAAGGAAGCAGAGGAGGAAGGAAAGGGGAAGAATAGGAAGAGAAAGGAGAAGAGGAAGAGAAAGAAAAGAAAGACGAGGAGGAAGAGAGGAGCAGAGACATGACATCATCAGTGTGCTGCTTCTGCTTTGTCCCCATTCACAAGATTTGCTGCTGCTTAAGTGAAGGTTGAAGACCTGGCTGTGTTGTCTGGCAGGGTACCTGAATCGCAAGATTGAACGGACAGAATAAATAATCCGACCTTCCATGCTGTCTTGCACAGTTCTACTGCCTCCTCTCCCTGACTGAAATTGCTTCCTCTGATGTCACTGCACACTGGGAGTGAAGGACACTGGGAGCGTCTCACAATGTGCATTAGAAGCTGCAGCAAGTCAGATAGAGCCCGCCTCGTTTCCTGCCTGGAGGACATCCATCATCATCTAGCAATTTCCTCCCCCAGCCGGACTGTCCCTGGCCACCCATTTCATTGATTGTATTTCAGTTCTTTCAATCATGGAGGCTCAGCATCACATGTGGGCTTTACTTAGGGTGGTCTGCATGAAAACACAGCCTGCCTAAGAAAGCCCACTCCTCCAGACTGACCTCCACCCATCAATGCATTTTGATATTTGCATAACTCCTCCCAAAAGCCAGCCCACTGCTTGTATCAGAGCTGAGGGCTCTTGAGCAGAGTACTGAGGCAGAGTGCTTTGATGTTTTCAGGAAGCTATGTACAGCACTCTGCCGGCCCCTCCCACCAGCCATGATCTGCCTGCTTTGCGTAGAGAAACACAAGGACTTGATTGCATCAGGGCTGAGGGCTCTTGAGAGGAGTACTGAGGTTGTGTGCTGTGATGTTTTCAGGAAGCTATGTACAGCACCCTACTGGCCCCTCCCACCAGCCATGATCTGCCTGCATTGCATAGAGAAGTACACAGTGATGTAATCACTGGGTCTGAAATAAGATATGTAATGAAAACAAAGGTTTCATTTAAAAATGTAATTAGCATGTTGATGAGGGGAGGAACCATGGAAGGTAAAATACAAGCAGATTAAGCTTCAACTTTAAATGCGCCCCATGTTGTCCTCTCTCAGCGTTCCTTTTTGGCATAAGCAATCCCTGAAACCTCGAAGCACTCCAGATCTGAATGAGAAAAAGACAATACAATGTCGCCAATTACACCCAAACACAAGACCCCGCCATGCACACAGTGCAGCCTCTGTTAGCACGCGGCCATATTCCTCCCCCGGCCTGACTGGGAATCTGGGAAAGAGATGCTCCTTGTCCCACTTTCCATAGCTCTGGCAGGGAAGGGAGAAGGTGGAGGGAGGAGGGGTAGCGATGGAAGGAGGGGAGAGGAAGAGGAGGGGATGCAGATGCTGCTACTACTGCTGGGCTCCTGTGTGCCACCAAATCCGGGAGAGGGGAGAAGAGATTGCCGGGGGGGCGCTGATGGACACTATGCCGGGGATGAAGCCTGCATCCATGAGGACTGGTACCCTGCTACTGATCGCAGGTCTGTGTGCATCCCTCTCCTCCCAGCCCGGCGCTGCCTCTCCGCGTCCCCATCATGCCTGCTAACCACTGGCAGGATGGAAAACATGACTGCTCAGGAACATCTGGCGGGGGCAGCGAGAGGCGGCCGCTGGCTTCATGTCCCCCGATATAGCGTGTTGATGTCTGGGGGGTGCCT